CAACTGGAGGAAAATCCTCCACTAGTATATTTGGCCACATATATAAGTGGGTCATTCTTTCTCACAGGTTCTTTGCAGGGCAGAATTTTTTTATTCAGCACACTATTATATGAAGTAATTTTTTTTTCCCCTGCTGTGTTTATTTTTTCCCAGGAAGTTTTCACAAGGACTAATTTTAGCCAGCAGAAACCTGTGTCCATAGATTATGTAAAGTGGTTAAGTTAGAGGAGCCCCTATTCTGTTGCTATGGCCCCCAATTCTTTAGCTTTGCAAATGCTATTTTCCTTTTCCATAGACATCTGCAGCACAACTGTCTGCACTCCAGATGAAGTCATGGTGTGGATGAGAGGAGAATTCACTCCTCCACCTACTGCTCCCTAAGCAGTGTGGATGAATAGCTGAGAACACCACCTTCTTTCCCCTGCACTACTTCATCCCGTATGTACATAGAGTGCCTCCAAACATCCTCTAGGATTCCTTGTAAGAACACTTCTGCACTGTTCCACAAAGCCTCATGTGGTCCCAAGGATTCATTTCAGTATTTGGCTCTAAATTTGTTGGTATTTTGCTATTATCACTTTCTGTGTTCCCTCTGCTTTCTCCTATTCCTTTTACTTATCTCTTTTTGATACTTTCTCCTATCGCTACTGTGTCTTCTCATTTTTTCATTTCTGTGTGGGTTTTTTTTAACTTTTTATGCTTTTTTTTTCCCAAGAAAAGGAAAGTGTTCCATTCTAGCCCAACCTGTCATAGAGGCATGGAGAGGTGAGCTGGAGAGCTGGCAGAAAGCATTGCTCTTGTCTGGCTATGCAGGGAGAGGACAAGGGCTTTGCTGCTGTGAGGATTTCCCAGAAGTAATATTGGAGCTGGTCCAACAATTTACAGTAAAAGGACTGCAGCTCTAATGCAAGTTCAGCAAGGTGAAGGCCATCTTTTTTCAGGTCAGGTACAATAACCAGGAGTGGCTTGTCAGATGTATCTCTGGTCTGAGAAATTAAATAACATCTTTGGACAGGATGCTACATGGTACATCCTGGACTTAAAGGATCCAGCCTTCATCTGAAGTCTAACATGGAAGAGGAGAGACAGATCTCTGGTCTTTAATGAGCTTGCAGAGTTAAGAAGAAAAGGTCCCACAACTGAAGGACATTACTGTGGGGTCAGGGCATGAGTTTCTTGGCATCACTAGCTCCATTCTCCAACCAAGATGCCCAGCAGTGTTGACAAAGGAGACTGGCTCTGAAGAACACTTTGCTTACATTTGGGTCCACCTAAGAGGAGTACTAGGGGAAGAATGTGTATTGCGGTTATAGCCACCTTTTCCTGAGCAAAGGACAGACATCTTAGATGCCTTTCAAATGTAAAATATAAACTTCATTTTTTTCTCTTCAGTGAATGATGGCTCTTCTTTTAAACATTATTAGATGAATGAAATAAACCTAAGTTTTCAAGACATTAGCCTTGGATCAAAGTCAGGGATGTAATTCTAAACTGTATTCTTTGTGGCTAAGTCTACACTGCTCTTCACATTGCTGCCAAACACTACCAAGATCCTAGGCTAGAGTGCCATGTCTACACCCATATTAAAGGTTGTTTAGGACATCACCAAAAAATCTCATCAAGTATATTCAACATGCCTGCATCCTGCATGTCACTCACAGGTATTTCCTTAAGTAAGAAAGGTACAGGAATGCAGGAAATGAGGCATATTCACGTTTTCAGAGTTCTGTGGATTTCAGCCAGACAGGATCCTTTCCCAGTATTTTCCTGTGATTAAGGATGCATGTCTATTTTTTATCATTCCTTAGACCTTGAAAGTATTTGCAAGGGATACCTACTAATAGGAAAGTAGCTGCTCAAAAGCCAGACTAAGTATTCCCATGACTTTTGGACACAATATGCTGGTTAGGGTATTATACATATGTAGAAGTACCTCCGCCAGTTCTGGGGAGCAAATGTGTGTTTTATCTAGTCAGAGTTTCTGTATGTTAGGAGTAGTGAACCAAGATGAAAAACACTCTGCCTGACTACCAAGTTCAGATTCACATTTCCCTTTTCAAATTCAGACAAAAACTCTGGATGTAATCTAGTGCAATGCTTCAGAAAATGAGTAACACAACTGATTTGTCAGACACTTAGAAATGTCTATTACAGTATGCACTAGTCTTCTAGCAACAATTACTCTGAGACATAAGATAAAGGGGCAAGAAGGTTTTAGCGACCAACAGCAGAATGACATTTTGATACTGTCCCACTTAGGAGATTTACCCATTCTCTCTGAATAACTTCAGGATGGGCCTCTCAACCACTCATCAGCATTCACAATTTCATACCTGCCTCTCTGTAACTACAATGTTTCCACTAGTTTCCTGAAAAAAAAAAAAAAAAAAAAAGGCTGGAAGCCAAAAATTGACTACTATAATAAACATCAACTTTTAGCCACTATTATTTCTTTGTTTCATTCCTAAAGCCCTTGTGTCTATTTTTTTTTTCCTATTTTTTTTTTTATTATTATTACTTCTTTGTCACACTTTGTCACTCTTGTCTTCTGATTGTTGGCATTCTTTTTAAAGCTCAGTTCCAGGGGAGCTGGATAGCTGGGGTTCAGGTTCTAAAAGAAATATACCTAACTATTCTGCTCCCTGAGAAAAAAACTGAACACATAAAGCAAATTTTAGTGAAAGGCTCATACGTAAATAGTCTTTTTTAAATAAATATTTTTTTTTAATCAAGTCTTAAGGATTTGGAGTTCTGCTTGGTGGGTTTTTTTAAACATATAGAGTCAGCAGTAATGCCTCCAACAGTCCCATTATATATGGCCAGTGCCCAGGAATACGGACATAATGAAGTGAGCCAGGCATTATATAATGTGATCAGGGAGAACGCCCAATTGAGAATAAGCCATTCTGTGGATCAGTATAGGTTATACAAAAGGCAAAGTATTAACTGCAGGAGTGAATTCTGTTGCCTTATGAAGACACAGACTTATGAACTAAGACGGTTTGCTTTTAGTGACAAGAACTGCACAGTCATAGCAGGTCATCACACATTTTGTGGGAGTGGAACTACTGGGGAACACTTAGGCAAGAACTGCAATCTGGAAACACATGGCCTCTTTGTGGGACGTAGGCTATCTAGCATGCTGTGTTCACGCTGTTGCAATATGCAAGCAGTTCAGCACCACATGGGAAGCGTGAGTATTAGATACCTTGTGGGTGCCCACATCTTAGCCACAAATAAGCAGCAATGCAAAGGCAAGAGACAGCATAAGCCTTTTGAACATTAACAGGATGCCCTCAGGAAAAAAAAGCATATCAACAAAAGATGTATCAGCAAAACACACAGGCTCACATGCAGAATGACACGGCCAATATATAAACAAATGGTACGTATTAGTACCGTTACAATGCTGTTTAATAAAGATGGATTCATTCTCGTTACAAAAACTCGCATGGAAGTTGTAAAGAGGAGAAATAAGAAAAGAGGGATGTGCAAGTGAGTCTGTTCACACAGAACTGTCATGGTGGCAGCAACTGTAATATTTAAACATTAGTTTTCTTAGTAAAAAGCCTTTTAAGTTTTATAAGCAGAAAGTTATTTCATGTTCATCATGTAGTATTTGAAACAACTGGATAAACCAGGGTAAGTTTAAAAATAGATTAATACAGTTTGTTTTCATAGTGAAGAGTGATTTCTTCCTATGCATACTGTCTTAAAAGTAAATGTACTAGTTTCTGGAGTTCTGTGATTGTGTGACAATCACCACTTTTACTGAAAAAGAAAGAAAAAGCACATTCCTACTCTTCACTAACTTTCATATTCATGATCATCACGTTACTAACAGAATGCGAATGTGATTTGAGCATATCTTAAGGCTCAAAAATCAAAAGGTAAGAGGAAAGACACCAGCATTTACAGTACTGCAAGTTTTACAAGAGGATCATATTTGTTTTAGATGTGGTTCATGATTTCTCAGTGTTTCCGGTATGCGAGTTGTATAGAGACTGGGTTGCATGAGTTGCTAGAGGAAACTGCAGTAAGAGACATACTAACCCTAGAAAGGCAACTGTCATTCATAGATTCTAAGAACTTACAAAAATGCATAAACATCACACAAACTTGGAATCAGGAAAGAAAGGTAAAAGAGGTATTAAGATACAACTTCGAATCCCAGTCCAATGAGGTCGACAGAATTATGTTGCTAACTTCCAAAAGACCACTTTTTCATCCAATGGTAGAACTTGCAGTTTCCCGAGAACAGCAGTCATTTAAGGATGAGAGGGAAAATATAACCCAAAATGTCTTATTCAAAAAAACCCCACCATTTTTTTTCCTGATGAAGAGCAGTCTTCACACTCCCTGCAGTCAACATTTACCTTTAAAAAAGTATCTACTTCCAATATCTACTTAAAAATTTACTACGTGAATGTATCAATACTAATGAGGCATTTATATTATTGATACTAATGTATACTATTAAAGAAATGTGGAGATTTTGAATTGGTAGTAGAAGTATCCTTACTTCAGTATCAACCAGAAGAGATATTTTTGAAACATTCAAAAATATTTTGGCACACAGATTTTAAAGCATGACTTGGAGTATGCAGACTTTTCAGTCAGTTGTTCTGTGTATCGACATGCTACAGTTTTGCAGGAGATGATTCAATTGTTAACAGTTTATAGTATTTACTGCTCTCCTGCTGCTGCTGTAACAGACAGAACATATGAGTTGCATTGATGAGATGACAGGATCTTCACCTCTTGCAGGACACCACACATTTTTCTAAGAGAAGGAAGGTGCCCAAGCGGGCACTAGCCAGAAGTGCGCTTGCCAGAATGGTATCTGCTCTGGGACTGACTGCTGCTGGTTTGGCCAGTGTCATGGGCAGCTGGAGGTAAATGCTGCATGGGGATAGGGGGATCTTCAAAAACGTGTCCCAGATAGATTGCTGGTGGAAGGTGTGTGTTCCTTCTCACTGAGGAGGAGGAGGAGGAATGGAATGTTGGAAGCATTTCTCGTGGCACTTGGGATATCAATTAGCTCCTACAGACTGGGAGATAGGTCAGAGCAGGTACATTTACGTTAGCAGTATAATGTGCAATTGAGTTAATACCGAGTACTATCTTCCTTACAGCTGGAGTTCTGTGCATTTCTCCAACGCACAATCCTGCTGTATGTGAAATGGTTCCTCTGCCAGGGAAACAAGGAGGCTGTGCACAGGGGTGCCATGTAGCGAGCACCAGCAGTACAGACCATAGTCTATTACTGCTCAGCCTCACAAAAGTTGTGTTAAACGAGGCTTAGATGAACAATAGGATGGGTTCTGCATTTCCAGGTGTGGTTGGTCAGAAATGGAGGGTGGGGTACAGGAGTTAATCATCACCATTCATCATCATCATCATCATGAAAGATTGCTTCAAGCCACTCTTCTGGGTCTGTAGACTTGGCTTGATCTTAAGCATATAGCCGCCTTAGAGTTACCTTAATTCCTGCTCTGCAAATGTTACTCAATAACAAGTTTAGCAACTTCAGTTTTGACATTAGCAGGGCATATCCACAATATCCTCACTGCAGCAGACTGTGAGGGGGAACGTACAACTGTTCCTGCAGTTGGATCTTGTTTCTGGACCACTTCTGCACATGGTGTTATAAGGGCAGTCAGAGTTAGGTCAAAATGGAAGTTCAGCCTCCTGTATTTATGATGGAATAAGCAGCAGGTAAGCCCAGGGTTGTGTCATTTGGGGTGAATAGACAGACAAATGGGTCAGAAGGTGATTTGAAGCCTCTACATGAGGTTCTGTGGCCAAAGGGCCAATCCAGAACGGCCAGCGCATGCCTCAGGCTTTGAGAAATGCCAGCACGACATCTCTTTATATTGGCACAATCGTTTTGACAAGTACACATTTCCCTATATAGTTAGACAGATAGTTTCAACTGTAATGTATGTGAAAGACTGTATTTTCCCAAAGAAAAGAGCAAAATACATGCAGGCAATTGCAAACTGAATGAGGGTGGTGCTCAGTCGCTGACAGTGAGGACACAGCCTCCCAGAGCATTCATGCCGTTACACTTCACGTGTCTCCTCACAGCTGTGATGTCCCGATGCTGGACTTCTGAAAGGGAAAAGTTCACCCAGCACGTTGGGGGAAGCAAGCACAAGCCCTGGGGAAGAGCCCACCACAGGTATGCGTGTGGGCTCTCTGCATTTCTTCAGCCATCGCCAGGCTAACTTTGTAACCTGGAAACGGAGTTCACAGATGTTCATAGAATCATCTAGGTTGGAAGAGACCTTGAAGATCATCCAGTCCAACCATTGACCTAACACTGACAGTTCCCAACTACACCATATCCCTAAGTGCTATGTCAACCCGACTCTTAAACACCTCCAGGGATGGGGACTCCACCACTGCCCTGGGCAGCCCATTCCAACACCCAACATCCCCTTCTGGAAAGAAATGCTTCAGAATATCCAGTCTAAACCTTCCCTGGTGCAACTTGAGGCCATTCCCTCTTGTCCTGTCGCTTGTTACTTGGTTAAAGAGACTCATCCCCAGCTCTCTGCAGCCTCCTTTCCGGGAGCTGTAGATGGCGATGAGGTCTCCCCTCAGCCTCCTCTTCTCCAGACTAAACACCCCCAGTTCCCTCAGCCGCTCCCCGTACGACCTGTGCTCCAGACCCTGCACCGGCTTCGTTGCCCTTCTCTGGACACGCTCGAGTCATTCAATGTCCTTTTTGTAGTGAGGGGCCCAAAACTGAACACAGGAATCGAGGGGCGGCCTCACCAGTGCCGAGTACAGGGGTCAGATCCCTTCCCTGTCCCTGCTGGCCACGCTATTGCTGACACAAGCCAGGATGCCATTGGCCTTCTTGGCCCCCTGGGCACACTGCTGGCTCCTGTTCAGCCGGCTGTCAATCACCCCCCAGGTCCCTCTCTGACTGGCAGCTCTCCAGCCACTCCTCCCCAAGCCTGTAGCGCTGCTGGGGGTTGTTGTGGCCCAAGGGCAGCCCCCGGCATTTGCCCTTATGGAAACTCCCCCAGTTGGGCTCAGCCCATGGCTCCAGCCTGTCCAGGTCTGTCCGCAGAGCCTCCCTACCCTCGTTGTTCGATGTTCGGTCTGACATTCTCGCCGCAGTGTGTCCCCAATAACGAGGCGTTCAGCCAGCAATCACGTTTTAAGGGCTGTTTACGGTCGCGCACACAACATCGTGTTTCTGACCGGATCTTCCTTCCCAGCTCCCAGAGCGACCGCCTCTCGCGCCCGCCCCGCCGAGCCCGGCGCCCCCAGGCCCGCCGGGGGTACCCGTGTCGCGACC